CTGAGTTCTGTGAGCCACTCTAGAAAATTAATCAAACATAAGAAACAGATAATGGAAACCTCCAATCTTTCTGTGATTAGCAAGTCTGACCGCCCCCCACAGTCTTGTAGGTCTGAACCCCTAACCTGCAGAATCTGATGCCATCTCCAGATAGATAGTAGCAGAAATGAGTTGAATTATGGGACACCCAAGCTAGTCTGAAGTGTTGCTTGTTGGATGCCTGGGGAAACCCTCTCCCTCACACATTGGAACTGGTGAGCAGAATCCTTATATAACAATAAATTAAATGCAAAGAGAATGAAAGGAAGGAAATAATAAAGAAAATATGATTGTAGAAAAAACCAACAAAGCCAAATCTTAGTTTTTGAAAAATGTATAAAGTTGATTATCTCCCTATCAAGATAGAGAGAGAAAGAACAAAGAAGAGAGAGAGGACAAATTTCTAAGCTCTGGTAAAACATAATTATGAACCCCATAGACATTAACATAATCAAAAGAGGATATTACGCACAAGCCAACAGTAAATTAGAAATTTGAACACCTTTGACAAATCCTTTAAAACCATAACTTGCCAAAGCTGACACAAAGAGAAGTAGACAACTTGAAAAGAGTTCTTTTAATTTTTTTTAATTAGCTGTGAAATTTAAAACTCCCCCCTCAAAAAGAAAAAAATTTCCCAACACACGTCTTCACCGCTGAATTTTACCAAGTATTCATGAAAAAATAAATAACAGAAATCTTCCCTGAGAACAGAAACATAGGAAAGATTTCTTGACTCATTCTATGAGACAAAAAAAAAAAACCCTCAATACCAATAGCAGACAAGGAAATCATAAGAATTTAAGAAACATTAAAAACAAAATATTAGCAAACTGAATCCACATAATACATTGCGAACAAGACAGACAAGCTTCAGAACCACAATTTTGTTTTATCATTTGAGAATCAATAAGTGTGACTCACAATATTAAAAGGAAAAAGAGATATAAAACATTTTGTCATCTCAAGAAATGCGGAACACGAGGCTAATAAAATTCAACAGCTATCCACTGTAATAATGATAACATCAAGAAACATTTAGCAACTTTGAAAGTGTTCTCAGTCTGATAAAACATATCTATGACACACTTACAGCAATTATTGTAAGTAATATAAACTCTTGAATAATTCTTGTCCAATACAGGTAAAAGGATGAGGATGCCAGTTGTCAATTCTATTCGTCAGTGTACAAGTGTTCATAGCCAGTGCAATTGGGCAAGAAAATGCAATAAAA